GCACCTAAAACAGTGGTTTTGCTCACCACACTAAAGAGACTGTCTCTTCTCCATTGAATGGACTTTGACCTTTCATCAAAGATCAGCTGGCCATAGCTCTGTGCTTTACTTCTGGGTTTTCAGTTCTGTTCTCATGGTCTAACGTGTCTCTTCTGCCAGGTCCACACTGTACATACAGTACAGTACTATGAGTACTATCTAGTGCTCAGCTTGTGAGCTTTCCTGTTGTTGATGATGATTGCCAGCAAGTCGATCATGACTTATAACAACCCTATGAACAAAAGACTTGAAGCCTTTCTAGAACTATCGTCATTTCTCGGAGTTCATAGAGTTTCCAGAGGAATGTGAGCCTTCTTACTTAAAGTTCTTCATCTTCAAGAATACTTTAGCTATTCAGGGCCTCTCTCCTTTCCATCTAAAGTTGAAGATTATTTTTCCAGTCATTTAGACAATGCTATGCAGAAGGTCAAGGACTGTAGTTTTATTTATAGATTGAAGGTAAACATCAAGAAAGCAAGAATTCTCATCACTATGCCAATTGTCAGCACTATGATGGACGAAGAAAAGATTGAGGTTAACAACTTTAGCTTGCTTGGCTCCCCAGTCAACACTCTTGGCACCAAGCAGTCAGGAAATCAAAAGACAAATTGCATTGGAGAAGTCTACTGTCAGGGACCTCTCCAGGGTGCTGAGGAGCAATCAGGTCAGTCTAGAGACTAAGGTGCACCTGGCCCAGGTCATAGTCTTTGCAACTACTTGCTATGCATCAGAGAGCCAGACAATGACTAAGGATGACTTAAGAGAAATTGATGCCTTTGAGTGGTGCTGGAGAAAAGTACTGAACAGAAAAGTATTGAACATATACCATGGACAGCTGGGAAACAAATAGATCTGTCTTGGTGAGGGTGAAACCAAGTTTCTCCATGGAGGCTAGGAATTTGAAGCTCCAGCTCACATACTTTGGGCACATGGCCAGGGCCAGTCCTTGGAGAAAAATATTATGCTTAGAATGGTAGAGGGACAGCACAGGAAAGGAAGACCCTAGGTGAGATGGATTGACATGATAACTGGGGCAATGGGATTAGGTGTGTTGGAGTCAATAAGACTGGCTTAGGATAGGTCAAGGTTCAGAGCTGTAGAAAATTTGGTCACTATGAGTAGAGGCCTGCATTTATGTTTCTTGTAAAATGTATTTGCAATGAATAAATTGTTGATTGTGCAAAATTCTATCATCCTATCTCGTTTCATTTCTGTCACCAAGTCCATGCTTCCATTCTTCTCTGTTCCCAACTTTTGCATTCCAGTCACCCATTATTATTAATGTATCTTGATTGCATGTTCAATCGATCTCTGACTGCAGAAGTTGGTAGAAATCATCTATTTCCTCTTCTTTGGCTCTGGTTTTTGGTGCATATATTTGAATGACAGTGGTATTCACTGGATTTCTTTGTATACATATGGATATTATCCTGTCACTCAACAATATTATATTTCAAGACACATTTAGAAATTATTATTTAACTATGAAAGCAACCAAATTTTTTCTCACCTTTTCATCTCCAGCATAATAGATCACATGATCATTTGATTAAAAATGTCCCATTGCAGTCCATCTCATCTCACCAATACCTAGTATGTCGATATTTATGCATTTCATTTTCTTCCTTAACAATATCCAACTTTCCCACATTGATAGTTCTCACATTCCATGTTCCAGCCACTAGTGTCTGCTTACAACTGTTTATCCTCCTTACTATTTCCATACTTGAAAGTTCCACATCTATTGCCCTATCTGCTAGTCTAAGTGTGTTCTGTTGTACACAGAGTTTTCAGAGACCTGCTATTTCGGAAGTGGATGGCCAATTCTACTTCCTAGTCTGTCTTAATCTGAATGCTTAGACTTAGAAAAGTATCTGACAGACAGGCATTTTACAAAACAATGCAGATGAAATATTTTTCCCAATTGTAGAAATAGCCAGTAGTTTTAGTTTTGTCCCTGCCCTTGACACGAGTCTCTAGACCCACCCCTTTCCCTGTTCCACCAGTATTCCCTTCTATTCCCACCTACTCCCTTCAACACCTATTGCCTGCTATACACTCCTTGATCTGACAGCTTATATCTCAAGCATTGTGAGTTTCCATGATTCCAAATTCATCAAGATGTTGCTGATTTCTTATGCTGTGACAGTTTCCCTTGAGTTTCGGGGCCTGTAAGTCCAAATATAAAGCTGTAATGTTAGGGAAACCTTCTTATTTCAGACAGTTCTGAAGAAAAGTCCTTTCCCTTTAATTTCTGCTCCAGGTTTAACTTCTTGTGGCTTAGGCATCTTCCCTTCCATTTACAGCAACACTGTGGTCACAATATTTCTCAAGGGAGGGTGATCTGTCCTGTAGATCTGATATGCAGTGTTCTTTTTCTGGCCTGAGGACTGCAGCCCTCAGGCCCCAAGGATTCCAGGGGTCACTTTGTGAGGTGATCCCACAGAGTGTGAAAATTATTGAACAATATCATTAATATCACATGCAAGCAAGATTTTGCTGAAGATTATAAAAAAAAACTGACTAGAACAGCACATCAACAGAGAACTATCAGAAGTGCAGGCTGAATTTAGATGGGGCTATGGTACTAGGGATATTGCTAATGTTAGATGGATCTTGGCTGAAAGCAGAAAGTACCAGAAGAATGTCTATCTTTGTTTCATAGATTATGCAAAGGCATTTGACTGTGTGGATCATAAAAAACTGTGGCTAACTCTGAGAAGAATGGGAATCCCAGAACACTTGATTGTACTAATGTGAAACCTATACTTGGACCAGGAGTAAGTCATCAGAACAGAGCAAGGAAACACTGCCTCGTTTAAAATTGGGAAGCATGCCGCCAGGGCTGTATCCTGTCTCCATACCTTTTCAATCTTTATGCAGAACAGGTTATCCGGGAGGCTGGGCTCTTTGAGAAGAAATGTGGCCTCAAGATTGGAGGAAGAATCATCAACAATCTGCATTATGCAGATGACACAGCCTTGCTTGCTGAAACTGAAGAAGACCTGAAGCACTTGCTATAGAAGGTCAGGAACTGAAGTCTTCAGTATGTATTGAGACTCAATATCAAGAAAACAAAGATTCTCACCACTGGGCCAATTGGCAGCATCATGATGGATGGTGGAGAGATTGAGATTGTTAACAGTTTTGGTTTGCTTGGATCCATAGTCAACACTCTTGGCACCAGCAGCCAGGAAATTAAAAGATATATTGTGATGGGAAAGTCTGTGGTTAGAGACCTCTCTAAAGTACTGAAGTGCAAAGATATCAGTCTGGAGACTAAGGTGCACCTGATACATGCCATGGTCTTTGTAATCATTTGCTATGCATCGGGGAGCGGGACAGTGACTAGGGATGATAGAAGGAGAATTGATGCCTTTGATGTTGGAGAAGAGTATTGAATATATCATGGACTGCTAGAAAAACAAAAAAAGGTTTGAACTGGAGAGGGTGAAGTCAGGCTGCTCCTTGGAGGCAAGGATTCTGAAGCTTCATCTGACATACTTTGGACATGTTGCAAGGAGGGACCAGTCCTTGGAGAGAGACATCATGCTTAGAAGGGTAGAGGGACAGGGCAGGAAAGGAAGACCCTCGATGAGATGTATTGATTCAGTGACTGGGGTAATAATGGGGGCAGGTGTGTCGGAAACAGTGTGATTGGCACAGGACAGAGCAGAGTTTAGGTCTGTTGTACATAGGTTCACTATGAGTTGCAGGCCACTCGACGGCACATAACAACAACAACAACAACAACATAAGTTGAAGGAAACTGGAGGGCACATAACAACAACGTTAGGATCAGGATATCATTGCATCATATTTATGTGGGGCTTTTGATTTTTTGCAGTGGTATTTTGTACCATGTCTTTTTAAGGTCTTTTATGCCCTTGATTAGATTAGTCCTATGTTTTTTATATTGTGACAACTGCTGTAAGTGCTATTGTTTGCTTGATTTCCTTTTGAAAGTTCTTGTTAATGTCAAGGAATCCAACTGACTTTTGTATGCTGCTCTTGTACTCTGTTGTTTTTCTGAACCCTTCTGTTAGTTCCAGTTAACTGTCAGTGACATTTCTAGAATTTTCTGTGTTTAAGATTATGTCATCTGTGATCAGAGGATGCTTTACTTCTTCCTTAGCAGTTTGGATTCCCTTTATTTTCTTTCTTTGCCTTATTGCTCTGGATGAGACTTCCAGTAAGATATAGCATTGCAATGGTGGCATTGGACTGCTTTTTTCTAGAGGGAACAGTGCTGGTCTATCGCCATTAAGAATATTATTAACTTTGTGTATGTGTGGCCAGTTGACCGGTGAAAACATTGGCGACCTCCTCTGTCCTTGTGACTTGCACAGATGTGTAAGCACAACTTCTGTGGGTGGGAGCTCCCCAGTAAGGGGTCAGGCCATACCCTTCACAGCCAGCAGTGGGACTGAGTTCTGAGATGCCTCAGTGGAGGTGTTTAAGGGTGATTCTGGTGCACGGTGGAGGAGAGCTCAGTTCTGCCTGGGAAGTCAAGGCAGGCAGCATTATATGGGTGAAAGTCCACATGCTGAGTCTTTGTAGAAAAGATGTCATCAACTGAAGCACTTTTCAAAGCAGAGCAGAAAGAGCCAATGAAAAGAGCTTAATATTAGAAGAGACTAAATGACTGGCCCAAACTCATACAATTGTTTTGAGTGAAAGATTCCCACCGCTCCCAATTAATTGCTTAATTTTAGAACACACTAAATAAATATCAGCATAAATGTGTACAGTTATCCTGCTCCAGTTCCTATAAAAGAAATGTTTATATATGAAGGGGGTGGGTTTTCTGTGGCCCCAGATTGCCGTGTGTCCATTGCCAGGAGAAAGCATTGGAAAATCGCATCCACCTGGACCTCAAGAATGCAAACCTGTGTGTTGCAGAGAACCCTGCTCTTTTGCAGAGGTCTAGAGTGACTGGGTCTTTGTTGTCTTTCCTGCAGGAGCCATGGAGCGCCCAGCACATCCCAGCACTGTTTTCGGCCTTCTGTGGCCTCCTGGTCGCCCTTTCCTACCATCTGAGCAGGCAGAGCAGTGACCCAGCTGTGCTGATGTGAGTATCGGGCCACGCCCTTCAACACACGCCCTGCCCAGATCCTCCCCATAGTGCCACGCACCACCATCCCCGGCTCCTTCAGTACCCACTTAGCTGAGCCCCGGGGATGGCAGGAGAAGTGCAAACCCAGAAATGAACGATCAACTTCCAGACTCAAAATAAAATTTAAAATTCAGGACCAGATGGCTGATAGCACCCAAGTTGTTGGCGTTCCCTTCTCTGTAAGAAGCTGCAGGCTCAGAGCATGCGCCGTCCAGGTCTGCGCCCTCTTCATTCGGTGGCATCCTCCTCATTCCAGGCCCTTACCTGAGGAAGCCCGGCCTGCTCCTCTGGACAGAAGGGCTCTGCTGTCTACGTTGCGCTTTGAGCCACACATGGCTGTCCCCCTCTGGGACTTAGTGTGAAGTTAGAGTTAAGGTCTTGTACATATTTAGAATCACCTTTCATCATGTAAAACACTATTTTTCAAGCTTTTGAATTATGTCTTTAAACCTTTAAGATATATCTTTATCTCTATCTCTATCATCTATCTTGGGAGTGAAAGCCCTTTGTATATAACATGCCACAGTGAGTCTCTGCTCTCAGTCATGGCTGTTGTTAAGGCATGGTTTAGTTGCATATTTTCCATAGGGAGCTCTGGTGGACTAGTGGTAAGAAGCTACACTGCAATACCAAAGGCACACAGTTCAAATCCACCAGCTGCTCCGTGGGAGAAAGATGGGCAGTCACTTCCTAAGCGATTTACTGCCTCTGAAACCCACTGGAGGATCAACTATGGGTCACCTCTGACTCGACAGCACACAAAAACAAACAACAGTTGGAACAGACTCATAGCTACCCCTCCAGTGAGTTTTCAGAGGCTGTAAATAGCACAGGAAGATGGACAATCTTTGTCCTAAAGAGCAGCTGGTAGATTCAAACCACATGCTTTTGGGTTTGCAGTGCAACTTCTTAACACTGGGCCACCAGAGCCACAGGTCAATTGCAGTATCTCATGTCATTTGATCCTATCTATGACAGATTTCAACTTAAGAGAGCATAACTGGTAGGAGATAGGAGACCACAATTTCAGGCTAACTGATATGACAAGATGAAAAGTGTAGAAAAGAAGAAAAGTAAAGAAGGTTTATATAATTTCCATAGTCAACTACTGCAGTATTATGTTTTACTTGTGATTCATAAAAGCCCCAAAGGCTCGAGCTGAATTAGATTCTGATGGGGAACTCAGACCACCTCGGTGCAGACCTGCTTTCATTGCTATGGAAGCTTAAAATAAAAATTAGCTTGGAAACATTTGAAGATTTTTCACTTGGATTACAAATTGTTAGTGGAGGGAGCACTTGACCTTGTTGTATACATGAGGCAGCTGAGGAAGCCATTTCCCTCAGAAATGTAATGAACACATATTTTTTAAAATAAAACCTGTATTTTTCTTCCCCCTTTCAGGTCCTTCATTCAATGCAAATTGTTTTCTAAATTTTTACATGAAAACTTGGAAGAGTCGGCCGCAGATCCTCTCCCAAAGAAAATGAAAGACTCTGTGGTGAGCCACTTTACTCGTTAACCTGGTGTGTGAGAGGCAGCACTGGATGCAACTGTGAACATGTTAGTAGAGCTCAAGTTCTCGTGCTCCAGCTAGGCCATGGGAGGACAGCATGCACAGGAGGAAGGGCCAGTCTTGGTCTGGACTTGGCCTCCTGCGTGGTGGAGTTGCTAGTGTAGACAGCATCTTCTGGGCAGTGCGTCCATACCTCCATGATGCTCAGTAGGGGAAGCTCACAACATTTTTCATGGAAATTCTTTAGAACCACACTCAAGCAATTGCATTGTTTGCTGGTGCAGATAGTCCACGGCAGACTATAATGGATAGTCTTGTCAAATAAATTCTCAGCCACATTGCCCCCCTGAGATCCCGTGCACACAGCCTCTTCCTATAGTCTTTGTCTCTGCCTTACACAGACTTCAGGGTCTTCTTCTGGGGTCTTTCATCCAGGATGACATGTGCACTGTCCTTGCTAGGGATCCTTGGAATGGGGTATCGAGGAGCTCCTTTGTTGGAGGTGTAAGTATTTAAATACTCTGGAGCTTGCAACAACCTGTTTTCTTCTAATCAGGCTATTTGCATATCTCTGAAGAGTGGCAGGTAAAAGGAAGAGTGGTTAAGGATCTGTTGGTCAGAACCCCATGCATCCTTTGTTTTGGTATGCCAGCGCCTTCAGTGTAATAAGAAAACAGTGCCTTTGTTGGCTCATCTAATGAGTTGACAATCCACCGTATTAAGATGATGGTGATTATAGGACCAATTTCCAAGTTGAGGGGCCTTTTATCCACTAGCAAGATGTAAATCACTCAGAGACCAAACTTACCAGACAAGCAAGGAATTTATTAAAAAGAGCAAGCAAGTTGGGGCCTAGTAGTTTTCTTGTTACCACCCCAAGGTGCTATTTTACTCCAGGCTGCTCCCTGGCTTTTCTAGCCATTGGACTTCATACAGGAGGGTTCAACATGCCCCTCACAATCATCTTACTGGGAACTACCTGTGAAAACATGTAGGTCGGCTCCTTCAAGCCTTTATCTTCCTTCATTTCACATAATCAATTCCTGATTTGCTTGTTCCTAGCAACTAGTACTCTGAGGGGACAAGCAGCTTTCTCTCTCTGAAGAATCTTCTGTTCCAGTTGGAACTTGGAGCATCTTGACCTATAAGCAAAGTCCATGCCAGAGTAAACCCATCAGATGGCAGTAATTTACAGTAGCTCACAGAATGGCAACTGAAAGGCACATTGTTCAAATCTAACAGCTGCTCCATGGGAGAAAGATGGACAATGTCTTCCCATATGATTAACTGCCTCCGAAAACCCACTGGAGGGTCAGCTACGGTCAGTTCTGACTTGATAGTATACACCACTACCGCAGTATAACATTGAGTTGAGTTCTGGTCAACCCATCCCTAGCTTTAGACACCATCGGCAAACTAGGGGATCCACACATCTCCCTGTATTTCAGATAGGCTGGTCCTTTGGTGTGAGTCCTCGTGGCTCCCTGCACATTAGATGGGTAACCTGTTTCCCTTCTCCGCACCTGTGTGTGTTAGGTCAGTGGATGCCAATGGAGCACTTCCAAGTTCAGCCTTTCTAGTCATAGCTACATTCCTCCACTTCCATTCAGTGAGTGGACCCAGGGGGTAACCATGCTTAAGCACACTGGACTGCCCACTCACGGGCTCCCTTTAACTTCCGGTCCTGTAAAGGGACTTTTGATGGGCACCAGCTTTACCTGCCTTATGATTGTTGTGTACCATTGAGTTGGAACTGACCCATAGCTGACCCTCCAGGATTTTAGAGGTAGTTAATCTCATAGGAGGAGATTTCCCATCCTTCTCTCTTGGAACAACTGGTAGATTTGAACTGCGTGCCTTTGAGGTTGGAGCACAGCTTCTTACCACTAGACTACCAGAGCACCACCCAAAATTACCAACTGGCTCTAATGTTTTAAACAATTTATTTTCTTTTGGTTTGCATACAAAATTTATAACTTGCCTTAATTTGAAATCTCTACACTGCCCTCAACAAGCTTGCATTTTCAGGGCAGATCGGCATAAGTAATGAGTAAACTGCAGCACTCAGTATTTATCTCCACCATGTATTTTATACCACTACACAGAACAAACACTCCGTTTAAGCCTGGTAGGATAGCAAGACAGGCCAACCCCTCATTGTTGTTGTTGTCGTGTGCCATCAAGTCAGAACTGACACACAGCAGACCCTCCAGTAGGTTTAGTAATGTAAGAGGCAATAAGTCATGTGGGAGGAACTTCCCCGTCCTTCTCCCGTGGAGCATCTGGTGGATTTGAAGCACATACCTTTTGAATTGTAATGTAGCATCTTACCACTGAGCCATCAGAGTTCCCTAATCCCACATTTATTGTTGTTGTGTGGTATCCAGCAGGTTTTCAGAGGCAGTTAGTTGAATGGAAGGCGATTGTCCATCTTTCTCCTGAGGAGCAGCTGGTGGATTTGAACCACAGACCTTCAGTGCAGCCTCTGTCTCATGGTCACCAATTTATAAAGTATTTCAAAATTCACACTCAGTCCACTGTGCCTTGGAGTGTGGTGAAAAATCCAAGCCCAAATATTGAAGTCTTTTTCCTCATGTGATAATAAACTAAAGGGCAAACCATTTTGTATGAGGAAGGGATGCTTCATGAATTTTAAAAGCCAAGATGCGCCGAAGCAGAGGCTGTGGGGTCAAGCTGCTGGAGCTGATGAGAGGCAGCTGGGAGAGAAGGCAGACATTTGGCATTCAAACAGACAATCAATAGCATGCGCCCTTCTGCTTATACCATGAGCCTGACAGAGAAAGTAAAAATGGCATTCCTAGATTGTCCTGCAAGAGCTGGTGAGATGGCCCTCAGTGTTCTCATGGAAAGCTGTAAAAACCATCCCCCAAACTGTCCCAGATTTAACACCAGGTGAAGACGTTTCTCTACTCTCCTAGTTGCAGCCCTAAAATAATGTAGGAATAAATTATAAAGAAAGACGTGAAATGTGTTTGGTAGCTTCTGATAGCATTTCATTAATATAATTAGATTCTATGAGCTACGCTTTACCTTACTTGATATTCATGCACTTGGCATGCTTTGTACACACAACTTTCATGAGATTGTATATGATGTTTGTCTTCTGCTCCTTGAGAAGTCTCCTGGTCTAATTATAATATTTTAATAGAAATATCAGATTCAGCTTTTGTCAGTTTGATTTGTGATACCTTTTGCACCTTCAGTCCAAGTATAAAATTTTCCTCCCAGTTGTCTCTGATTTTTGTTCCTCTACGTGTCTTTCTGTCTCAAATTTTCTCTGTCCCGCTCTCCCTTTTCTTAACTATTTAATTCCCATGAGAAGTCTCTAGGGAGCTTCTTTGGGCTGCAGGTTTCCTGTCCCCCTTTCCTTTGCCCTCCTTGTGCCATTGCCACTCATCTGGTCCATGGTAGGACCTGGGCATTTGCTTTAGTAACAAGCCTGTCCACACAGATGATCTACTGTGTCACAGTGATTAAGTGCTTGCCTTGGAACTGCAAAGTCAGTAGTTTGAATCCGTCAGTGTCTCTGCAGGAGAAGGATGTGCAGAGCGCTTCTGTAAAGATTGCTAAAGATTGCTGTTAGGTTTTATAAAGTTAGATGTTATTCATAGTAACACTGTGTACCATACAACAAAACATTGCCTGAATCGGCACCATTCTCACGATTTCCACTGTGTCTGATTGCTGTAGTCACTATGTCTGCATATACCCTTGAAGGTCTTCCTCTTTTTAACTTGCTCTCTAGTTTTCTAACCCTGATGTAACTCTTCTGGTACTGGCCCCTTCTAAACTTTCCCAAAATATGTGAGATGAAGTCTCACCATCTTTCCTTCTAAGGAACACTCTGGCTGCATTTACTCGAAGACAGATTTGTTTACTTCTCTGAGTTTATGGTATATTCAATATTCTATACCAATTCAAAAGCGGCAATTCTTCTTTGGTCTTCTTTATTCATTATCTTATTTTCAAAAGCATTTTAAGCAATTGATGATACCATGGCTTGGTTCTTTAAACTGACATCTCTGCTTGTTGGCACTTTAAAAGGGGCTTTGCCAGTAGACTTTCTCAGTGCAATGCATCTTTTTTATTTTATTTAATATACACAACTATTTCAGGACATAAATAACTGACTATACAGATGACACCTTAAGAAAACATCAAGAAAAGAAATTGTCACAATTGGACCAAACAGCAAGCAACATCATGATAAATGGAGAAAAGATTCAAATTGTCCATGATTTCATTTTTTGAAAGAAAAAGAAAATACTCTTGAATATAACCAATATTGTTGGATTAATAAGAAATTATCACGTCAAAACTGGAGATAAAAGAGGAACCTAGAAACATATTTGACTCCAAAGGCCTCACCCAGCAGGAGACTATGAGCCTTGGCTTGGAATCCCCAAACGTGAGGAAGAACAATGAAAACCCAGACCTGGTCAAGGTGGGGAAGTCCTATTTTTCTAAAGAGAACTTAAAAAACTCTTGTGGCCATAGGTTGACAGGGAATTGCTGGAAGTTCAAACTACTTTCAGAAGATGATTGGGAATGAGTGACATAATTGCTGATGTCAGATGAATCTTGGCCTAGGATACAATACCAGAAGAAGGTTTATCTGAGTATTATAAACTATGTGAAGATATTTGACTGTGTGGATCCCAGCAAAATATAGATAACATTACACAGAAAGACAATTCCAGGCTCAGACAGAGCCAGTATATAGATCAAGAGACAATTGTTCAAACAAAATGAAAGGTGCTACATGGTTTGAAATAAAAAGAAAAAGTTATGTAGCATGGCTGTGTTGTTGTTGTTAGGTGCCGTCAAGTCAAGTACAACTCATAGTGATCACTATGAACAGCAGATCTAGACTCTGTCCTTTCTATGCCACCCTCACTATCTCAGACAATTGAGCCTATTGCTGCAGTCATTGTATCAGTCTGTCTGGTTGAGGGTCTTCCCCT